GAGATACTGCCACTACACGTTAAGGCCTCCCTACAACGAGACCACCCATTTATCTGGGCTCCCCGCAGTATAAAATACCTAGGAATTCACCTAACCAAAGAGGCATCCCACCTATTCGGGAGCAACTTCCCGGACTTGATGAAAGGCATAAACTCGGATCTCAATGCCTGGAACAAACCTCAATTTGGTTGGTTCTGCAGGCTGAACATTCTAAAAATGAATGTTCTACCGAGAATACTATATGTCCTGCAGGTACTGCCAATCATGCTGCCGAAGTCATGGTTTGCGCAGGTTCGAAAAACACTTACAACATACATTTGGGCGCACAAAAACCCACGGCTCGCATACTCACTCCTTATGAGATCAAAAGAAGAAGGAGGCCTGGGCCTCCCCGACATAGAGAGATATCACCAAGCTATCCTCCTAACTAGATTATATGACTGGACATGCCCACATTCCGATACACAATGGATAAATATATAGGATACCTTCCTCAGAGCACCCATCTACACAATACCATGGCACAAATCCGGTCAGTCGCTCTTACTACACTCCCCCCATCCTACCATCTCACCAACCCTACGTATGTGGGCGAAAATGAGAACACATCAATCGATATCCCCATACCCCTCACCACTTTATAAACTCACCCACAATCCTTTATTCCAACCGGGAGAGGATGGTAAGGCATTCAAACATTACCATAACTCAGTCTATCTACCACTAGAAGCCATCATTGACGACACGAGTCACCAAATCAAACCCATGCATGCCATCACAGATAGACAAAACGCAATACAACTTTTCCAATATCGACAGCTCACTCACTTTGTACACGCAGGTCCGTTAGCCCACAAACCATTCCGCACCCATACACAATTTGAACAAATATGCAAAAACCACACCTTAAAGAAAAAACTCATCTCAGTGATGTACACAACAATTGCAAAGACACAACCCCACCACCCACCAGTGTTCACCTCGTCATGGGAAAAAGAACTAAATATTTCACTCACACCTGAAACATGGCGTACTATCTTTAAACAAATCCACAGATCAGCTCGGAACAACACAATCCAAGAGAGTAACTATAAAAGAATAGTGAGATGGCATTATACCCCGACAAAGCTAAAATCCCTCTTTCCCTCCCACTCGAACCACTGCTGGAGATGCCAAGCACCCGAAGGCAACACAGCACATATCTGGTGGAGTTGCTCAGTAATCAATCGTTACTGGAAACACATTCATGGAATACTACAATCGGTCCTGAACACCCATATCCCATTTACCCCTGAACTCTTTATCTTTCTAATTCCCCCCCGAAACACACCTAAAATGACAACAGACCTCCTAATTCCCTTAATATCTACAGCGAACCAACTCATACCAGCTCTGTGGAAACACCCCAACGCTCCTTCGATTCGCGAATGGATACAAAAAGTCGAAGCGACAAGAGGCTTAGAGGAAACTTGCCACTCCCTTGCAGGTACATTTCTCCATCACAAAACCGTTTGGCAACCCTGGTATGACTACCTCAAAAACAGCTTAATATAACTAATAAGACATTGACCCAACTAGGCTCTGCCTTCCAATACCTGGCCCACCAAGTACCACCCCCCCCTGCTGTAACACTGTAAAGAGATGCAATTTTAATGCTACCCATTGTATTGTCATACATTGATTCATTGTCTGGTACCTTGGACCTTTCTTTTTCGACAATTTATTGTAATTGTGCAGAATCTCAATAAAAACTTTCACAAAAAAAACAAAACAATAAACAGGATACAAAAAGATAGTGAAGGCACTGAATGTTCTGAGAGACACCGTTGGAACCATAGTTTGCAAGTTCAAAGTTGAAGGAACAGTGGTTACACTACCGGAAAAAGAAAGCTATCAATGGCTGCAACCAGATTTCTGAGAAGGCAGTGGGAAGGAATACCCCTTCACTGTTTGGCAGCTGTCTTGTCTCATGAACGCGACCAGCGGGACTTGGTCATCGAGTGCCTGGAACTGTTTTTGGAAACACACTCGCACAAACCCCGGTCTAGGTAGAACTCCCCTACGTTCTATTTCCCAGCACTTTAGGCGAACGGCATTCAGGAGTTTGAAACAGACAAACGCAAGGAGCATTCTGCACAAACCATCTCTAATTTACCTATTGCAGTTTTCGTATGAATCTCCACAAACTGAGTCCGGCTCTTGCTACAAAACCTGTGGAACTGTTTCTCGGATTCACACTCGTGGCAGACCGGTCAACTTTCTCCACGGTGCTGTTCAGAAACTACTGAACGGATATGGCTGAAATTTTGATATGTTTCTCCTACAGAGATCAGCTATCCAGGGATATGACATTTGTGGGGTTTTTATGTAGTTTTGGGGTATTTCTGAAAATCTTGAAAAATTAAACTTTTTCTGACCAGCAGATAATTGAGTTTAGTTTGTCCTCAAAACTCAATTATCTCGCTGGCTCAGAGGAGGAGTTATGTACTGTATAAATTGAATGCCTGTTTTCCCATTAAACCAGTCTTGTCCCAGCATTAAGCTTTGGCTCATGTGTGGGTTATTATGCGACACCAGCGATATTGGAACCTTTGGATTATTGGCGTTATTATTTTATGGACTAAGGGAATGCAAGCTACTCAGACCATCACAGGCAGGTTGAGAAAAACCCCTGCAAAAGACCTGCAGCAAGACTTGGTGGCAACAGTCACCGAGGTTTTAGTGAGCACAGTAAGGTGCGTACTAAACAAAGCAGTTTTCCATGCCAGAACTTCAAGCAGTACACCACAACTGACCAAAAAGCACATGAAAAGTCAACTCCAATGTGCTCAAAATCATATAAATAAGCTAAAAATGTTTTGGGATTCTGTTTTGTGGAGCGCTGAAACAAAACTGGTACTTTTTGGCCCGATGGATCAGTGGTATGTCTGGAAGAAGAAGAATGAAACATACTCTGAAGAGAACACTTTGCCTACAGTTAAGCACAGTGGTGGTTCAGTGATGCTCTGGGGCTGCTTTGAATCCTCTGGCACTGGATATTTGTAGCGTATCTAAGACAAGATGGATTCATTGAAGTATCAGGAAATCCTAGAAGAAAAATGACTTGTGTCTGTGAGGAAGCTGGGGTGTCATTGGACCTTCCAACAAGACAATGATTCCAAGCATACCTCATTCTGGAAAATTCTGCAGTGGCCATCAGTCACCTGACTTGAACCCCATAGAAAATCTCTGATGTGACTTTTAGAATGCAGTTTCAGCACACAAACCCAAGAATATTACTGAACTGGAGGCCATTGCTTGTGTGCAATGGGCTAAGATTCCTCAGGAATGCTGCCAGAAGCTGGCTATGCATTTTATTTGCAGAAGGTCTTGACAGCAAAAGGGTGCTCTACTAAATACTAAGAATGCTTGCCTTTAAGGGGTTGAGTCATTTTGAGACTGGAGAAGTCAATTTAAGTTGCCTTTTCAGTTCAATTTGGTGAATTGAAGCATTCCTTGTGTTGAGCTATTCCAATTGCTTTTGTTTGATTTGTTCATTGCAAACAGCTGAAAGTCTGTAAGTTTTGACAATAATCCTGATTTTCAATAGAGTTAGAATAATTTTGATTACACCTGTATATTTTCCCAGGTAGATGGAAGATCTTCATATACTTATAAACATATTAGGATCATAAAATGTATGCCAATATATAAAATTTACGTCCGAAAGATAAAATCAGTAAATAATGGAAAGAAAATGTTAGAAACCTTTGTAATTAACTTTTTAAATTCCAAGTCAGCATGTGGACTCTACAAATTATATACATGGAACTATTTGCTCTGTAAGCAAAAGTGGTCAAGACCGTAATTGTAATCACAGTTAGAAGAACACTATAGACATCCAAAACATTTCATCTCAATCAAGTGGTCTGGGTGGCATGTCCCTCAAGTTTTAACCCTGTAGTGTAAAACATTGTCATTCTGAATGAACAACAATATTTACAGTGCAAGGTTTAAATGCCTCTAGTTGCTGCCACACTGACAGCACTTTGCCATACATGCGCACAAGTATTCCAATGCTATCCTAGAGGAAATCATTGGATTGGATGTGATCATCAAGATAAATGATGTCAGCCAAGGAGGCGAGTGACCACTGGCAGTGCAGTGTACCATGGAAGAAAAGGTAAGTAAACTTTTTTTTTTCCTTCATTCAGGTTGTGGCCAGATATCTAAACATTGAGCATGTCACTATAGCTTTAGGAATACATACTTGTATTTCTATTGCTATTATGTTCCTTTATAAAATATTGTAAATTTCTATTTTGTAGATGTTCTATTTTGTAATTCACCACAACTCA